GGGGAGGGCGGAGCGGGGCCACGCTGAGCGGGTGACCCCCCCACACACACCCCGTACCCCCAGATCGGACCCTCCGCGCAGAGCGGGGGCACCGGGAGGGCGGCAGCAGCTGCGCTGCCCGCGTTTTAGCCTAAAACCACCCTTTTTAGGTTAAAAAACAACAAAAAGTCATCTGTGCTGTGCTGTTTCAGAGGAAGTTTCCGGGCTGGGGGGAAACTGGCACATGGACATCCAGCCATGGACATCACTCCCTGGTGCTCCTGCGTAAGGGTTTCAGCCTCTGGCAGGGCCAAGGAGGCTCCTGCCATCCCAGAGATCCCTGGGACCCCCCCTGTTCTCCCTCGTATTCTTCCCATCCAGAGAAGCCCTTTGGAAACGGTCATCTGGACAGGGAGCAGAAGCAACTGTAGCACACATTTCCAGAAGGATAACAAGACTAACATTGTAAACAGGACTGGAAATCCAAAGTTTCTGTGCCACCAAGCTGAACATCCTCATTTGACAATGGGGATTGCAGTGCAGGGAGGGTGGCAAGGGCCTTGGAGCCCCAACTGCTCCAGCAGTTCCCKGGAGCACAGGGCACAGGACTGAATCTGGGTGGCTGTTGGACCCTTCAGTGAACTGCACAACTGCCCACAACAACCTGCCACCACCACAGCCAACAGGCTTCCTCAAATTGTGACAGAACTTCCCATGTTTCAGTGGGTGACCCTGTCCCCCACCCTGTCACGGGCCACCAAGGAGAAGAGCTCATGCTGGGCGTGAGAAGGGCTCATGCAGCAGCTCAGTGTCCCTCCTGTCGCGGGGAGCCCAGCACAGGACACAGCTCTCCAGGGGCAGCCTCTCCAGGGCTGAGAAGGAGGCAGGATCCCCTCCCTCCTGCTGTGGGCAACGCTCTTCCTGATGCCCCCCTCAGGCCACCAAGGACCTTTTCTTGGCCACCAGGGCACGGTGGTGGCCAGTGGGAATTTGTGAAAGCTGGTAGCCCTACACGCTTAGGGCTGCATCAGTTTGCCATACTTGTCCCCATCTTCCAGAAGGATTATATGGAAATGGATTAGAAATTTGAGCAACGTTGAGTCATAGTGTTATGCAAGGCACCTTTTCAAGACGTAAGAGTATCCCCTCTTACCTTCAAGCCATAATTTTAAAAAAGAAAAAAATATCAATGCCATGGAAACAAACCTAAAATTGTCGCATAGGCTTGAGAGTCTTGAATTAGTCGATGGCTTCTATCTTCAGATCCAGATTGATAAATAACAGAAGACTGCCATAGCCCTAGAGGAAGGAGTTAACAGGMATGTTAAGAGTAGTCAGACCATGACATCATGTGGCCCATCCTCTCCATTCAGTATTCCCTGGGTTTTCCATTGGAAAGGTAAATCCATGAATGCTTGTGGGGACATGAAACTACACCTTTGAGTTTGCTCAAAGCCAGGAAAGCCCTTTGTCGGGGCTAAGGCAAGGTCTCTCATTGTACCTGAGAGTCTGGGGCATTGCTGAAGGTTTTTTTCTTTTTTTTTTTTTAATGCTGCGAAACAGAGTTCAATTTCCTCAATTTTTTCTCTCTCTTTTTCTTTTATATTACTATGAAAAAAAAGGAAAAATCTCATGGTTTTTCACCAAGAAGAGAAGTCACATGGCCTCAGATGATGAAGAACAGAAATATTAGTGCCAACAGTAAATTACTTGTACTTATTTAAAAGTTTTGGGTACAGAGGGCCTATTCTGGCAAGTCTTTGCTTGTAGAGAGGCGCTGTTGTAATGCATTGTGCATATCATGCATTACATAGAAATAGCCAGCTTCGCTGGAATTAGGAACCCCTACTAGTATAAGGCTGCATTTAAGGACATTTGGCATATAACTGCTTCATAATATGGCCCTAAGGCGAACAAACAAACAAAAAACTTAATTTCTAATTAAAAAAAGAAATACTTGAACCCTCATCCTGCTAAAATCCCTCCTGCTTAAGTGGAAGGAAGCTGCCTGGGATTACAAGCATGTTTATACAATAAGTTGACCGAAATGATTACACTTTTTTTTTTTTTTTTTCTCCAGATTGCTCCCTTGGACATGAATTCTCAGGTTTGAATCAGTTCCTTGCTCAATAACAAGGAGATATTTGGATCCCCTCCTTCTCTCTGCCTCCATAAAAAGGAGAGAAATAAGTCTCCAAACAAGAGTAGGTCCTAAGGGAGATGTCCAAAGAGCCACAACCCACCTTAGGGTTACCTGGTATTGCTGTGACCGTTACAGACACCTGGCTGTCCTGAAAGTGCAGGGCATGGGTGAGGAGATCACGGCAGTGCAAAGTAATCATGTCCAGGAAGCTGTGGGAGAAATAAAAACGTTATATTTGGGAAATAGCATGAGCACTCTCTAAATAATTTGAGAAGACACATGCATTCAGCAATCAGCCACACATCCCCGTTGTGCTATCTGGGGGAATTAGCTTCAAAAACTTTCCCAAGTTTCTGTTACTCTTGCTGTTTTTTTTTAACCTAAAGGTTATAATTGACTTTAAAGTTCTGCTGGTTGACAACAAATTGCATCCCCCACACCCCTTGGCCAACTGGCCTGYAGGAGATGACAAGCAGCTGGGTGAGACCTTTGCCTCTGCAAATCTCCTGGCATGAAGCTGAATGAGCGTTTTCCTTGGGCGCTACATCAACTCATGCCCCTCTCCTGCACCAGCAACATGGTGCAACAGCATATGCTTCACAGGACACCTTCAGCTGTGCAACTCTGACCTGTAGCCACAGCTTTCCCCTAATTTGTTTTACTTGGAGGAAGCTAATCCAGTTTTGCTTAAGTCTTCCCAGGGCCCATCTTTTCTGTACCGATTGTCAAGATTCTGGGAACTGTTGGTGTCCGAAGTGCAAAGAATGATGAGCAATCATTGTGTGGCCTTTAGTTTGTCCTAAGCAGCAACCAAGTGACAAATTTCAGTGTGTTCTGAAACAGACTTGACCAATTTTATCATATTCCCAAATAACCTCATGACACTTTTCATGAGATTTGCAATCCTACTTCCACTACTTTTCTACATCCCCTAAAGTGACATGTGAGAGAAGAACATGCTTAGGATAATGAAAAGCCCCGAGAACAAAGTCCATCGAAAATGACAAGAAGGGAAAAGGCTRTGAGTATTCAGGAGGCCAGGAAAGATTAGGCTTTGGGGCATAAAAGTCGTGAGAACAGCCTCCTGTGTGCTACACAAATCATTTATTCTTCATTTGTTTATTCTTCATTTATTCTTCACAACACCAAAAGAGACTTGGGAAAACTCAAACACCAATGCAAAAAATGGCATTTTGCCATAAATGCAAAGAGGTTGTCAAGACCCCACTGTCTAAATTAAGCTTTCAACGAGGACTAGCTCAACCACCATCACAGTTCTTTCTTTTTCCCCTCCTTCATTCTTCCATTTTCATTATTTTCTTACAAAAGGGACATAAACTATCACTACAAASAGACGACAACAACAACAACAACAAAAGGAGATTTATCATTATTGTAGAGAAAAGGTCAGTTTGCCTGGATAGTACACTGGAAAAGTTCTGCTTTTGCATAATTCTGTGGAGTTTATTTCAAAGCTCATGTTCTCTAACTGCTAGCCAAAATAATTACTTCTCCAGTTCTGTGGGGGGAAGAAATCCACTAAAACTTGAATATTCAATGGATTGATTAACAACAGAACAATACTTTAGCTAAAAGCTCTGTTCCTTAATATACAATGAGCATCAGCCACTGGCTATGAGAAGAATTAAAAGTATAAAAATAATCTGGTTTTGGAGCTTATTTCATCCTGATGGCTTTCAAAATATATTGTGGCAATATAATGCATGTGAGGCAGGTTCCCTTTGTGACCTTGAGGTCTCTGMCATTCAGTAGAGGTCACTTTCAGACTTACAGAGACCCAGTCTGCAGTGGGTCTTTTCCAAGGGCATGGACCAAAGTCATCGTGCCCTCGACACCAGTCCTGACCTGCCCTCCAAATACAGGAGGGTGCATCCATGGGTGTTCAGCACCCAGCAGCAACCTCTGCATTTCCCTCAGTGAAACGCCAGCAGAAGCAAGCAGAGCTTTGGGCCTTCTCACAATAAATCCCCTTGGATTACAGGTACTAGCCCTCCCATGACTCGGGATCATCATGTGAAAGCCATGATCTGCACAAAGGAAAACACATGGATTTSATTTAAAGCAGTGAGATTTCTCCTCCAAAATCTCCGTCCTAGCTGCAGCATCAACTTAGCTGGGTTGCCAAGGGTGGTGTCCAGGAGCTGCCAGGCTTTCTTTTTAACCCTCTTCAACTGTTCAGAATTGCCCATCACCCCCAGGGACCTGCTCCAAAATTCAGAAGGCTTCTGCAAGACGTGCACAGTGGGCACCTGCAGGGAGGGGAAAAAAAAAAAAAAAACACAGAAACTGCAGGTCCAAAACAACATGAAGGATTTGGCCAYGTAGGACGGTAATCCATATGCTGCATCTGGAATATGCAGAAGTTTGCAAGTGTTACTA